AATTTTATTATTTACTACTTAATATATTTGCTGAAAAAGTTGGTCCAATGGAACATTACATAATTTCATCATTAGGACAAAGCTAATATTAGAAATTTAAGATAATCAGCTGACTTTCCCCGTGCTAGTTTATGTAAGTTATAATAAAAAGTTGGTTTAAGACCTTTTAAATGATCAGCATTAACTTGATAAGAAAGCAAAGATATGTACATTTTTCTTTTCCTTTAAATATTGTTATGTATCTTTTCCATATACAACCTTTTCAAATTTGATGTCATTTGTTCCCCGAATGTGTAGTTTATGAGCATTTCATGAACCTATTAGGGTAAACTTTACCAAATTCTTGGCACTTGATCTTGGCTATTATATCAAATGAAGAATTAATGCGCTGTTTTGCTGCAAAATACCAAATTGTAACCAGCTGAGCCTCAAACAGGTTAGGCTATTAAGATTTTAGGTTAAAGACTAACATGTTAAATGAGAGTATATGAACCAATTATATCACGAGGCTTGAGATCCTTTTTCTAGTTGATGTGGAATTGAAGTCTGTAATGCACCTTGCTGAATTGGCATGGGAATATGTTTGGTATATTAGTTGGGTGATAGATTTGATTTTTATAATTGATCATCGCTTTTGGATTCTTCACCCTCAACTATAGCTTGAAATGACATTGTTCTCACCCTTGCTGATCTTGATGTTCATGATTTTAGTTGCCGTTGCCAACAAGACTCTAATGGCTTGCTTATGCATGCTTAAAGAGTAAACGAAAACCGTCTTTGTGCCTCACTTATTTCTTTTTCACGACACAATGGAGTTTTAAGTATGGCCTTGAGGATAAACTTGTGAGGCCTGTCATGAAAGTACCATCATAAGTTTTTAAATCAAACACTTGTTAGCAATTAATGTTTTTCGCTCTATCGTTGTGTAGAGCACAAGGCGATTATGAAGAGAGAAATCTCTTGGAATTTTTTCTATCTTGCACGTTACGTTGGAAAGCAATTTGATCATTTTCATGTTTGCTTGTTGAATCATTACGTGAAACTGATAAGATGGCTTTCCAAATGCCGATATATTGGTAATGACAGCTGATAATTATCTTTTGACACTGAAATTTGATCAAAACCTCTTAACACACTCGATATTTCGGGTTGTGGAAAAATGACATGTAATGCAAGTGCACAATTATTTTCCTGATATGTTCTTGAATTCACAATAACGCAAGTCCCAATTATGGGCAGAATAGTCAAAAACACATTGAAAGATGGAAGAGATTTAGTGGTTGAAGCAAAGGGAGGATTTGCATTTGTGTTGACATCATGTATGATGAATGAGAAGCAACAAATGACATTGAATTATCAAGAACCATTCTGTTACCAGCAGTGATTTCGCAAGGTTTTCCTTGGATAGATCCATGCCAAAGAAACGAATTGTTCCTATGTCTTCATTAGCATCAGCCATCATTTTAGTGAATGATCTAGAAGACTCATTACATGCTTCTAGCTTCTCACGTTAGAGTGGATTGACATAGGAGGAGGTGTGTGGCAGAGTCATGAGGACCGGTCATTAGATAAGAGACTTGTCATAGTGGCACAATCTTTCAGTAGGAGATATGATCAACAATCTTGTGGAAACCCTAGGTGGGTCTCGTTGGGCGTGCCAAAAAAGAGATTCCTTTTCTTCAATCTCACCTCTGCTTCAAAAATATTCATATATCCAGATGTCTTTTGGGGTCTTTTGTTTTTCCACTATTTTTCAAATTCTCAAATGCTGTATCTTTCTTGCTTTTTGTCCAAAAAGCTCGTCGAGACATCGATCCTTTATACAAGTGGTGTCTGATTGTGTTCATCAAGAGAGCAGGTGTTATAAATCCCACAGCATAATCTTCTGTCTTCTTTTTGGGTCAAAAGGAGAAACTTTTTTGGAGATTATGAAGAGATAAAACAATTAGAACAGGTAGGGTCTCAGACTCTATTATCCTGTTGTTGGACCAGCTTTTATAAGAAAAGTGTTCACTGGCAGGATGAGAGCAACCATCTTGCATCCCATTTTAAGCTGATCTCAGCTCCCACTTTAACCAATCTTATTTGCATGTATTGTTTAGACATAGTTTTTGTCGGCTGAACATGATGGATGAAAGGAATGAAAAACAGGAAAACAGGGTACTCTGTAGTAGCTTCCCCTGTTTTGCTTTAGACATTTTACCACCTCAATCAAATCATGTAAGTAAATTTCTTTTTAAATCATACTAGGTAGGTTAGACATTTTCCTTCATTTGTTTTCAACTATGGAATATTACTGTATCAGTGTGGGGCGTTGTGATGTGGCCCAGGGACTATCAATGTTGTAATGTTATAATACTTTGTCAAATTGGGTCACAACTTAAACCTTCGGTAACCTAACAACTTATCAAACTAATGTTCAGACAATCAAAGTTTAAGCTTGAGTTGCTATAATGGTTGGAGCAACGACCCATATATCATTCATAATCAAGCTAAATTTATCTTCCGAATGGAAATAAAGGTGGAAAAATTCTAATGATATGACCAAAAGGGGTGATGTAACTTTTCAAATTTCATTCTTCTAAGTTGCTTTTTCTTGGAATATCACTGGCCTGACTTGATCCTTTAAAATGCAGAAATGGATAGAATAATCTTTTGATCACCAGATTAGACAGCAGGGATGAGTTATGTGTTAACAGCCCAGATTTTATTGTACTGCTGAAATATGCCATTTATTTTCAGACGTCTTTTCTTTTCTTCTTAGGTGGATGGGTATGAACAATTGAAAAAATAAAAAGACAAAAGAAACCATAAATGAGAACAGGTGGTGTGAAAGAAAGAACAAAGTAAGCATAGAATGCTATTGATCCAACATGATCCAGGAATCGAAGTTGCGTTAGGGTATCATCCAGCAAGAAAAAAAACCTGATTGCATGGGGAGTCATATTTCGAAAATGTGTAAGCATGCATAAGAAAAGAAGCACATAATTCTGGTCCAGAAAAATTTAGCATTCAATGGCGGGGGCCTACCAAGATTACGTATCTTTCCAAAATATACCATTTGTGATTAATATGGTGGGATTCCACCAATCTTATTAATTTCTCATTGGAATCCAAACACGAAAGCACGAACCTTCATTTGTCCCCCATGTATTTAATATTTTACAGTACTTATTTAACCTCATCAGTTCATTACATCTACAAACCCACATGATGCCATTGGAGAAACAGTTCTCACACTCACAGTAATCTCTAAAAATTAGTGGATACATGAAATCAAGTGTGTGGAGTTTAATCAATCAATGACTTTATTGATTTAAACAACTCTACTTTTTCGATGTGAGGTTTTCTAATTTTTTTGCAGTTTTTTAACTGCCATCAACAACTACTTTATTTTCCTTTTTTGGTTCTAAAGAAGGAAATTCATGTAAAGGAGAATTGATAGATAAGACATCAATATTTTGGAATGGGAATAAGTTTTATGCAGATCAACTTTTGAAATTATCATTTGGAAAGGAAGAGATATAATTGAGCCAACTAACCAATTAATTTCCCTTTTAACTAAAACCATGAAGAAGACCTTTTCTCTTAAAAAACATGAAAAAGACTACTAGCTTTGGCCTTATTTTTTATTCTGGATTAAGGTTAAGACTTATTTAATTTACTCCAAATCAGTCCATCTTATCCCATGCATTGATCCCTATACGCTTTGCACCAAAAGTAATGAAAAAGAAGGAAAAAAAGTTTGTTCTGAGTGTCGTGGGTGAATGGAGGATGGGGCAAACTTTTATGTCATTTTCAATCTCTTTAATGCAAAATGCCATCGAATTATGGCACCAACGAGTTTATCGTTTTTCTCCTCCTTTCTTGTCTTTTTTTTTTCTTTCTTTCTTTTTGGCCAGCTTTCTCTTTATTTGTTGACTCCTTTCTTTTTCACATTTAGTTATGTTTTTTCAGGACGTAAGTTTCCTGTTCAAATCTCTCATATCAACAACCGTGCCAGCAAATTCTTCAGCTGCTTTCCTATGACAAAGGGAGGTGCCTCTTTTCCAAGAAATCCCCTCAACACCTCCCACTTTAATAATTCAGAAACAAAAACAGCATTATAGGGAAAGGTTTTCCCACTCTGGACTGCCCTCTGTTTTGTGGTGACAAAGAGAACTTTTTCCTCTGCTTTAATCAGTGTTCATTTTGTACTTATTTGCATTTTTCAAGTTTCTTTTCCTAGAATTATTGATCCTACCACCAAATTTATTATTTACTTAATATATTTGCTAAAAAGTTGGTCCAATGGAACGTTACCTAATTTCATCATTAGGACAAAGTTAATATTAGAAATTTAAGATGGTCAGCTATCTTTCCCCGTGCTAGATTATGTAAATTTTAATAAAAGTTGGTTCAAGACCTTGTAAATGATCGGCATTAACTTGATAAGCAAGTAAAGATTTGTACACTTTTCTTTTCCCTTAAATATTGTTATGTGTCCTTTCCATATACAACCTTTTCAAATTTGATGTCATTTTATTACCGGAAAGTGTGTCGTTCATGAACATTTCATGAACCTATTAGGGTAAACTTTACCAAATTCTTGGCACTTGATCTCGGCTCTTACATCAAATGAAGAATTAATGTGCTGTTTTGCTGTGAAATACCAAATTGTAACCAGATGAGCCACAAACAGGTTAAGC